AAAAACCCCTCGGGGTGCACAATTCCCTCCCAGCTGTGGTGGGGAAAGGAAAAGCCAAAAGGATTTGGAAATGGAATTTTGGAGGATTTTAGGGATTTTCGGGATTGTTGGTTTTCCCATTTCCCAAATTTTTTGCTCCTGTTTTTCCAGCTTTTCCTGCAGGTTTGGGATTTCCCATGGAAAAATTCCCCTTTTTTTCCTGTTCTCTCATCCAGTTTTTCCTGGTCTTCCCAGAGATCAAGGATTTCCCATGGAAAAATTCCCCTTTTTCCTCTGTTTTCTCATCCTGTTTTTCCCACAGATCTGGGATTTTCCATGGAAAAATTCCCCTTTTTTCCTTTTTCCTGTTTCCTCATCCAGTTTTTCCTGCTTTTCCCGCAGATCAGGGATTTCCCATGGAAAAATTCCCCTTTTTTCCTTTTTCCTGTGTTTTCTCATCCTGCTTTTCCCACAGATCAAGGATTTCCCATGGAAAAATTCCCCTTTTTCCTGTGTTTTCCCATCCAGTTTTTCCTGCTTTTCCCAGAGATCTGGGATTTCCCATAGAAAATTCCTTTTTTTTCCTTTTTCCTGTGTTTTCTCATCCAGTGCTTTTCCCACAGATCAAGGATTTCCCATGGAAAATTCCCTTTTTTTCCTTTCTCCTCTGTTTTCTCATCCAGTTTTTCCTGCTTTTCCCAGAGATCAAGGATTTCCCATGGAAAAATTCCCCTTTTTCCTGTGTTTTCTCATCCTGTTTTTCCTGCTTTTCCCAGAGATCATGGATTTCCCATGGAAATTCCCCATTTTACCCTTTTTTCCAGGTTTTTCCGATCCCATTTTTCTGGATTTCCCCACATTTCTGATCCCCATTTTCCCTTTTCTCCAAGTTTTTCTGATCCCATTTTTCTGGATTTTCCCACATTTCTGAACCCCATTTTTCCTGGCCTTTCTGATCCCATTTTTCCAGTTTTTCCTGTGTTTCTGATCCAAGTTTTCCCCTTTTCCAGGTCTTTCAGATCCCCATTTTTCCAACTTTTCCTGCATCTCTGATCCCCATTTTCCAGGTTTTTCTGGTCCCATTTTCCAGCTTTTCCCGTGTTTCTGATCCCCATTTTCCCTTTTCTCCAGGTTTTTCTGATCCCATTTTTCCAACTTTTCCTGTGTGTCTGATCTCCATTTTTCCAGGTTTTTCTGGTCCTATTTTCCAGCTTTTCCTGTGTTTCTGATCTCCATTTTTCCTGACTTTTCAGATCTCCATTTTTCCAACTTTTCCTGTGTTTCTGATCCCCATTTTGCCAGATTCTTCTGATCCCATTTTTCCAACTTTTCCTGTGTTTCTGATCCCCATTTCCTTTTTTCCAGATTTTTCTGATCCAATTTTCCAGTTTTTTCCTGTGTTTCTGATCCCTATTTTCCCTTTTCTCCAAGTTTTTCTGATCCCATTTTTCCAGCTTTTCCTGTGTTTCTGATCCCCATTTTTGCTCTTCTCCCACATTTCTGATCCCATTTTCCCGGATTTCCTGATCCCCCATTCCCATTTTCCCGGGTTTCCTGACCCCGTTCCCGTTTTTCCCAGATCCTGTACAATGGGCAGCCGATCTCCAAGCTGGGCTGCGGGGCCGAGTTCAGCATGGTCATGGACTGCAAGGGGAACCTGTATTCCTTCGGGTGCCCC